AATAGTCCAAGTAGGGCGATTTGAGCCAAGAACTCAGTCATTCAAATAATTAGCGTGGCGCTAGAGGCAGAGTCAGAGGCTGTGGTCAGGAGACCTAATTTTTTTTTTTGAGACGAAGTTTCGCTCTCGTTACCCAGGCTGGAGTGCAATGGCGCGATCTCGGCTCACCGCAACCTCCGCCTCCTGGGTTCAGGCAATTCTCCTGCCTCAGCCTCCTGAGTAGCTGGGATTACAGGCACACGCCACCATGCCCAGCTGATTTTTTGTATTTTTAGTAGAGACGGGGTTTCACCATGGTGACCAGGATGGTCTTGATCTCTTAACCTCGTGATCCACCCGCCTCGGCCTCCCAAAGTGCTGGGATTACAGGCTTGAGCCACCGCGCCCAGCTGAGTTTTTTTGTTTTTTTTTTTTTAAGACAGAGTTTCATTCTGTCACCAGGCGCGCCAGGCTGGAGTGCAGTGGTGCGATCTCGGCTCACAGCAGCCTCTGCCTCCTGGGTTCAAGCAATTCTCCTGCCTCAGCCTCCCAAGTAGCTGGGACTACAGGCACACGCCACCACACCCAGCTAATTTTTGTATTTTTAGTATGGATGGGATTTCACCATGTTGGCCAGGTTGGTCTCGATCTCTTGACCTCGTGATGTGCCCGCCTTGGCCTCCCAAAGTGCTGGGATTACCCGAGTGAGCCACTGCACCCAGCCATCTTGTTTGTAACATCAGGCAGGGCTAAGTCCTTTCTGGGGCTCTGTCATCAGTTGTGAAAAAGGAGGTTCAGGATTGAAAACTAAGTTCCTTTTCAAGTCTAGAATTCCATTTATACCTCCAATTAGCGGTTCTTTCCTGTGAAATACAGGGGTGGAGATCACAAAATATTTAACAAAAATGTCTAGTAAAATATGCAGTTCTCTGAATTAGATTATCCTGCTTCTTTTTCTTTTTCTTTTTTTTGGTGGGGGGGTATTTGGAGAGTTCTAATGTGTGCCTGATAAGGTAGTAAGCCTCGGGGCTATGAAAGTGAACATGTGAGGACTGTGGGAGCCAACCCGGCCACAGTGTAGTCCCTGTGGCTGCTGACATCCTCTGGAAAATCACTGCATGTAGAAATGAGAAAGTGTATTTCTCATGAGCATTCAGTCCAGCCCCTGCACCATGGCCTCCATTACAACCAGTACTCGGTAGCTATAACTGATCAGCCTTTTTTTTTTCTTTTTAAATTATTTTTTAGTAGAGGTGGTGGGGCAGGGGTGGTCTCACTGTTGCCCAGGCTGATCTCAAACTCCTGGGCTCAATCTTCCCGCCTCAGCCTCCCAAAGTGCTGTAACACATGAGACCACACCAGGCCTGGCCTTAAGTTTTCTGTTTTTTTGGTTTTTTTTTTGAGATAAGTCTCACTCTGTCGACCAGGCTGGAGTGCAGTGGTGCAATCTCATCTCACTGCAAACTCCACCTTCTGGGTTCAAGCGATTCTCCTGCCTCAGCCTCCCAAGTAGCAGGATTACAGGCACATGCCACCACTGCTCGGCTAATTTTTGTATTTTTTAGTAGAGAGGGGAGACTTCACCATGTTGGTCAGGCTGGTCTCGAACTCCTAACCTCGTGTTCCACCCGCCTCGGTTTCCCAAAGTGCTGGGATTTCAGTAAAAGACTACAGGCCGGGCATGGTTGCTCATGCCTATAATCCCAGCACTTTGGGAGACCTAAGCTGGTGGATCACTTGAGGTCAGGAGTTTGAGACCAGCCTAGCCAATACGGTGAAACCACATCTCTACTAAAAATACAAAAATTAGCCTGGTGTGCGCCTGTAATCCCAGCTACTCAGGAGGCTGAGGCAGGAGAATTGGTTGAGCCCAAGAGGCGGAGATTGCAGTGAGCTGAGATGGTGCCACTGCACTCCAGCCCAAGTGACAAAGCAAGACTCCATCTCAAAAAAAAAAAAAAACTAGAAAGAACTAGCTCTTTTGATAACCCTTTAAAGATCTACTGTTTACCAAGTTATTGGGATATAATTATGATTGAAAATCCTTCAATTAGATATTCAGGCTGGGCGTGGTGACTCACACCTGTAATCCGAGCACTTTGGGAGGCTGAAGCAGGTGGATCATGAGATTGAGAGATTGAGACCATCCTGGCCAACATAGTGAAACCCAGTCTCTACTAAACATAAAAAAATTAGCTGAGGCCGGGCGCGGTGGCTCAAGCCTGTAATCCCAGCACTGTGGGAGGCCGAGGCGGGTGGATCACGAGGTCAAGAGATCGAGACCATCCTGGTCAACATGGTGAAACCCCGTCTCTACTAAAAATACAAAAATTAGCTGGGCATGGTGGCGTGTGCCTGTAATCCCAGCGACTCAGGAGGCTGGGGCAAGAGAATTGCCTGAACCCGGGAGGCGGAGGTTGCAGTGAGCCGAGATCGCGCCATTGCACTCCAGCCTGGGTAACAAGAGTAAAACTCCGTCCCAGAAAAAAAAAAAAATTAGCTGAACATAATGGCGGGTGCCTGTATTCCCAGCTACTCAGGAGCTGAGGCAGGAGAATTGCTTGAACCCGGGAAGCCAAGGTTGCAGTGAGCCGAGATCAAGCCACTGTACTCCAGCCTGAGCGACAGTGGGAGACTCCGTCTTAAAAAAAAAAAAAAAAAAGGCTGACGTAAAAATCAGAACTTGAACAATAGTTAAAATTGTATAGTTATGGCTGGGCGCAGTGGCTCATGCCTCTAATCCGAGCACTTTGGGAGGCCAAGGTGGGTGAATCATGAGTTCAGGAGTTTGAGACCAGGCTGGCCAACGTGGTGAAACCCTGTCTCTACTAAAAATACAAAAAATTAGCTGAACATAATAGCGGGTGCCTGTATTCCCAGCTACTCAGGAGACTGAGGCAGGAGAATTGCTTGAACTCAGGAAGCGGAGGTTGCAGTGAGCCGAGATCGTGCCACTGCACTCCAGCCTGAGTGACAGTGAGACTCCATCTCAAAAACAAAAAAAAAGAAAGTACTGTTAGTCCTTAGAATCCCTGGGGAATTGGTTTTCAGGACCCAACCTCCTGTTCATGGATATGTAAGTCTCTGATAGAAAATGGTGTGGTATTTGCATATAAGCTATGCACATCCTAGATGTCTTATCATACCGAATCCTATGCAAATGGTTGTCATACTGTATTGTTTAGAGAATCATGACAGGAATGTGTACATGTTAGGTCCTGGTTGGTTAAATCTGCAGATGCAGAGCTCACAGGGAAGGGGGCTGGCTGGGCATGGCACACAACTCAGAGGTTCCCTTTAAGTAGCTTTGCTGCACTTCTGTTAGGAATTTATATTGAAGTTATTTTTTTTTTTTTTTTTTTTTTAGTGAGACAGAGTTTCACTCTTGTTACCCAGGCTGGAGTGCAATGGCACAATCTCGGCTCACCGCAACCTCCGCCTCCTGGGTTCAGGCAATTCTCCTGCCTCAGCCTCCTGAGTAGCTGGGATTACAGGCACGCACCACCATGTCCAGCTAATTTTTTGTATTTTTAGTAGAGACGGGGTTTCACCATGTTGACCAGGATGGTCTCGATGGCTTGACCTCGAGATCCACCCGCCTCGGCCTCCCAAAGTGCTGGGATTACAGGCTTGAGCCACCGCGCCCGGCTTTTTTTTTTTTTTTTTTTTTTTGAGATGGAGTCTTGCTCTGTCATCCAGGCTGGAGTGCAGTGGTGCCATCTTGGCTCACTGCAACCTCTACCTCCCAGGTTCAGGCGATTCTCCTGCCTCAGCCTCCCAAGTAGCTGGTATTAAAGGCATGTGCCACCACGCCTAGCTAATTTTTTGTATTTTTAGTAGAGATGGGTTTTCACTGTGTTAGTCAGGATAGTCTTGATCTCCTCCTGACCTTGTGATCCACCCGCCTCAGCCTTCCAAAGTACTGGGATTACAAATGTGAGCCACCGCGCCCAGTATATGCCTCAATTGTTAACACCAGATTTGTCTCGTGCTGTTTAATCCTACTTTGTAATGAGTTGAGGCATGGGCGCTTGACCAGGTGAGTGTTTTTTGAGCTAAATTAATTTATGGCAGGCTGGGCGCAGTGGCTAACACCAGCAATCCCAGCATTTTGAGAGGCTGAGGTGGACGGATGACCTGAGGTCAGAAATTTGAGACCACCTGACCAACACGGAGAAACCCCTTCTCTACTGAAAATACAAAATTAGCCCGGTGTAATCCCAGCTACTTGGGAGGCTGAGGTTGTGAGCCAAGATCGTACCATTGTACACTACCTTGGGCAACAAGAACAAAACTCCGTTTCAGAGAAAAAAAATTGTAGCAGCACAGGAAAGGGGCAACTAACCACCAAGTAGTCGTCTGGTGGCTAATTGGAACCACCTGAGTAGTGGGTTGTCTTTTTCCAAGTTGCTTCACGTTTGAACAAAATATGCGGACTCTGCAGGGCACCAAGGCCTCAGGCCTGCATCCCTTAGACATGCGGCCACCACTCTGTGGAATGGATGCGGCTGATGACACAAAGCATTGTTGCCAGGAAACCCTCAAGTCTTTCTGTCCTTACGTGGCCCCCCAAGAGTGCGTGAATCCTGGCCTTTCTAGGTTAGGGGGATGGATGGAGTCTAGCTGGACTTTGGAGGCCATCTCAGCCCCTGTTGCCAAGGCTCCCCTTGTTATCCTTGTGGTGGCCTTTGCTTCCCATCGAGGCTCGCAGCGAGGGCGCGTTCTTAGGCGGAATCTTCAGGGTGCGCCGGGGGGGCCCTTACGTTTCAAACCTCCGCCGGCGCGGGGACTGGGAGTCCAGGGCTCCAGCCCGGGGACCCGAGGCCGGCGACAGACAGCGGAAGGGCGGATTCCCCAGAGGCAGGAACTCTGTCCAGTGACTCGCCCGAGGCGGTCAGACCCGGGGCAGGGGCGCCCCGAGGGCCCCGCAAGGCCCCCTAAGAACCCCAAGACGCGGCGCGCAGTGAGTGGGGAGTGGTTGGCCGGCGCCCCGCGGCGGCGCACAGCTCCCGACAGCCACGATGCCGCCCACGACGGCGGTGACCACAGTCTCCCTCCGGGAGCTGGCGGACCTCTCCATCGGCACCCCGGAGGTGGGCGCCGTCAACTTCACCGCACTGCACACGCTCATCGTGGCCATGCTCAAAAACCTCGACCTCCAAAATACCCAGATCGACTTCCAGACCCCGTCGGCCCAGCCCAGCCAGTCGCCGCAGCCCTCGCGGGGCTCACTCAGCACCCCGAACCTGCCCGCGCCCAAGGAGGCGCCTAAGGAGGCACCCCGGGAGAAGCGCAGGAGCGTGACCCGGGCGCCCCCGTCGGCGCTGGAGAGCCAGGTGAAGGACCTGGGCGGCCAGGTGGAGGACCTGAGCAAGCAGCTCAAGCGCATGGATGGCCAGGTGCAAGGCATCGCCACGCAGGTGCAGCACTTCTCCCAGGCCACCGGGCTCCACCTGGCCGTGCCAAAGTGGCTGGAGGATCAGGAGGTGGACGCGCGGGGGCTGGATAGTATGCAGACTGGGAGTATCAAGAAGGACACCACCGCCGAGGAGCTCAGCATCGCCAGGGTGAGCGCTGGGTGGAGGTAACCCTCAGGCCCTCTGCCTCCTCTAGGCCGCCCTCTGGGCCTGGCCGAGTCCCCACCCACAGTAGAGGGGCGCGCGTGGGGGTGGGGATGGAGGGGCTGGGGACAGAGGAGGTGCCAGGCCTCAATGTGACTGGTTAGATAGAGCAGTCCACGCTCTATCTTGCAGGCCATGGGGCTGCTTCAAGATGTCCTGCAAGACCTAAAAACCCTAAAAGAACACCAAGGAAAGGCACAGGGCCTCCCTGAGCTGGAGGGGCCTGGTGACCCCACCTCCCAAGGGTAGTGGTCCCATTCCACCTCCTCCTTCCTAGCCCTATTTACAGGAGAGGCTCATCCACCACTTATCAGACGTCCAAGGACCCTGAGCTGGCTCAGAGTGGGGCCGGCAACTTCTCAGAATATTCTTAGAGGAAATTTCCTTTTAAAAAAGAATAAAGAGATAGGTGTTGAGGACAAAGGCTCCCAGAGAAGGGGAGTCAGGATGGACAGCTGGACCTCAGCTCCCTGTGGCCATGACACAAGCCACAGCAGGTAGGGGACAGTTTCATGTGGACTTTGTTTTTTTGGGACTGAGTCTCTGTTGCCCAGGCTGGAGTGCAGTGGCACAGTCTCGGCTCACTGCAATCTCCGCCTCCCAGGTTCAAGCAATCCTCCTGCCTCAGCCCCCCAGTAGCTGAGATTACAGGAATGCACCACCATGCCCGGCTAATTTTTGTATTTTTAGTAGAGATGGGGTTTTACCACGTTGGTCAGGCTGGTCTGGAACTCCTGACCTAAGGCGATCCACCCACCTCAGCTTCCCAAAGTGCTGGGATTACAGGCATGAGTCACTGCACCCTGCCTTTTGGGGTTTTTTTTTGTGTTTTTTTTTTTTTGAGACAAAGTCTCGCTCTGTCACCCAGGCTGTAGTGCAGTGGCACAATCTCGGCTCACTGCAACCTCCGCCTCCCAGGCTCAAGGGATTCTCCTGCCTCAGCCTCCCAAGTATCTGGGATTATAGGCATGTGCCACCACACCTGGCTAATTTTTGTATGGATTTCACCATGTTGGCCAGGCTGGTCTGGAAGTGCTCACATATCCTTAGCCAAAACTGTGAGCCACTGTGCCCGGCCTTCAGCTGGACTTTTGCTTTCTTGGAGGGAGAAGTGCATAAGATCACTGAGCATCATTAAGTATTCTCCAGTGAACTCCAGGAAGCAATGCACGCAGCGCCGGGAGGTAATAGACAAGCGTGTCTGAGAGCCGCAGTAGGATGGGCCCAGAAGAAACAGCAGGAGCAACTAGGAAGACAGCTGGGTGGGGAGGCCAAGAGGAGAGACAGGAGGGGAAAGAGAGGCCAGGAAGAGGAGGCCAAGCCCCTGCAGGGGAGCCGTGGCCGCCCATGCCTTCCCGCCACATCACCCTGGGTCTTGAGACCCCAGCACCACTCGCTTTTGGTCTGGGAAGTGTGTCAGCTTTCCTTTCCAAACTTTAAAGCGTGGTGGGTTTTTTGTTTTAATTTTTTTTTTTTTTTTTTGGACAGAGTCTCAACTCTGTCACCCAGGCTGGAGTGCAGTGGTACAATCTTGGCTCACTGCAACTCTGTCTCCTGGTTCAAGCAATTTTCCTGCCTCAGCCTCCCTAGTAGCTGGGATTATAGGTGCACACCACCGCGCCCGGCTAATTTTTGTACTTTTAGTAGAGATGGGGTTTTTGCATGTTGGCCAGACTGGTCTCCAACTCCTGACCTGAAGTGATCCTCCTGCCTCAGCTTCCCAAAATGTTGGGATTACAGGCAAGAGCTACCGTGCCTGGCCTTTTGTTTCAATTGTTAGCTAATCTTAGATTCTAGAGGTTTGCATAATTTATAAAATGCAACTTAAGTTTTATTTGTAATTATTAATATATTCTTAATCCCACATATGCTGGCAAGCACTTTAAGTTGCAGCGGTTTGCTTTGGTTCTTTAGAGGTGCTTTTCTCTTTAGACAGCACAGATGTTCAGCTCCTGTTGAGGTACCTGGCACCCTTCTTCCTTGCAAGGCAAGGTGGGCCTCATCCTCCAGGCTGTCATGAGTGGGTTGGAGCAAACTGAATCCCAGGACAAGAGGTCCCATCTCTGCAACAGTGTTTGCTCCTGCCATGCCACCCCCCAGGGTCCCCTGCATCTCACTTCCCTTCCTGTGCTTGGCTGGGAAAAGACCTGGGAGGTAAAAACCAGGCAGAAGGCAGCATGCAGGGACTAGTGCCTGGAATCCCAGCACTGTGGGAGGCCGAGGCTGGAGGATTGCTTGGACCCAGGAGTTTGAGACCAGCCTGGGCAATGTGGCAAGACCTTATCTCTACAAAAAAAAATGTTTAAAATGAGCTGGATGTGGTAGTGCATGGCTGAAGTCCCAGCTACTCAGGAGGCTAAGGTGGGAGGATCACTTGAGACTGAGAAGTTGAAGCTGCAGTGACCTGTAGTGGCACCCCTGTCTGGGTGACAGAGCGAGACCCTGTCTCAAAAAACCAAACGGCTGGGTGCCGTGGCTTACGCTTGTAATCCTAGCACTTGGGGAGGCCAAGGCTGGCGATCACGAGGTCAGGAGTTTGAGACCAGCCTGTCCAATATGGTGAAACCCCGTTTCTACCAAAAAATACAAAAGTTAGCCGGGCATGGTGGCACACGCCTGTAGTCCCAGCTATTCGGGAGGCTGAGGCAGGAGAATCGCTTGAACCTGGGAGGCGGAGGTTGCAGTGAGTGGAGATCGCGCCACTGCCCTCCAGCCTGGGCAACAGAGTGAGACTCTGTCTAAAAAACAAAACAAAACAAAACCAACCAAAAAACCCAAATAGAAGAAACCCTCCCTTTCCATAAGAGCCACACAAATTCCTCCTTTCCTCATCTCCTGACACTGAGTCAGAGTGTGTGTGTGTGTGTGTGTGTGTGTGTGTGTGTGTGTGAGAGAGAGAGAGAGAGTGTATGAGTGTGTGAGTGTACAAAAGACCCCCTGGGATCTCCAGGACTGTTTCCTGATTTCAGGGCTCATCCTCAGAGGAAAGCAGCATCAGATGTTGCAAGAGGGGCAGGGCACGGTGGTTCACACCTGGAATTCCAGCACTTTGGGAGGCCAAGGCAGGTGGATCACCTGAGGCCAGGAGTTTGAGCCCAGTCTGGGCAACATGGTGAAACCCCATCTCCACTAAAAATGCAAAAATTAGCCAGGTGTGGTGGCGCACGCCTGTAATCCTAGCTACTCGAGAAGCCGAGTGTATGAGTGTATGGGTTAGTGTGTCAATGTTAGGGTGTCAGTGTGTGTGTTAGTGTACGAGTGTGTGAGTGTATGTGTGTTAGTGTGTCAGTGTGAGTGTGTGGGTGTGTGTGTGCACGTGCGTAGGGGCTGCTGTCACTCTCCTTCCCTGAACTCTTCTTCCAGGTACTTTTACAGCGGGTTGATGAACTAGAGAAGCAACTGAAAGATCGGGAACAATTCCTGGTAATACCAGCCAGTTCCATGGGAAGGGGATCTCCAGGGGACTGGCCCTCTCTCAGCGTGGCCCTCTCTCCAGGGCTTGTCCCTCTGGGGTAGGCAGTGTGTGCCTTCTGCCTCCCAAGTCTCTGCCCCTAGGATTAGAGGGAAATCTGCCCCATCCCTGCCCAGCTCTCTACTGGGCGCCCACATGGGACAGAGAACTGGCTGCCCAGCCTTTGCTGGTCACTTGAAGGGTAATGAATTCTCCCTGGGGCTAGGGCTGTGAAGGACCCACACAGATCCTGTTAGACCAAGTCTGTTCCTAAAGCTTCTTGGGATTAATCAAGGGGTATGTGTGTGTCTTGCCTGTCACTGTCAGGAACTGGTCAGCCGGAAGCTCAGTTTGGTTCCTGGTGCAGAAGAAGTCACCATGGTCACCTGGGAAGAGCTGGAGCAGGCGATTACGGACGGCTGGAGAGCCTCACAATCGGTGAACCAGTGGGGGCCTGGGCAGTGGTCTTGGGTGGGGCTCCCCAGAAACTCTCGCTTTGTGTAGCTGCACAGGATTCTGTTCTATGGATGTTCATCGTTCACAAGTTTCATAATGTGGATATTTTACATGGTTTTTCCAGTCTTAAGAGCAAGGTGACACTCACATGTGTGAATAGCGTGCATCCCTAGAAACAGAATGTGCATTAGTGATTTGGCTAGCCGTTGGCAAATTGCCTTCCATGGCTGCCATTCCAATGGAGACTCCCGCCGGCAATGGAAGAGAGCACTTGTTCCCTGACATTCCCCAGCACTGTATGCTGGCACCCAATTTTTTTTGTTTTGCTAACCGACTGGGTCAACAGAAAATCGTACCTGAGTGTAGTTTTTATTTGCTTTTGTAGCTTTTCAAACTTTCTTTACAGCGTGTCCTGAAATGTAGGACCTTTCCTTATTAGTGGACATGGTGACCGACCGTGGAATTAAAACCTCTGTAGGGGACCCTTTGCTGCTGATGACGTTTGCACACAGGCTTCTGTCTGTCTTGGTTCAGTGTACAGATGACCAAATTGTTTTCAGATTCCCAACCTACCTTCATCTGAATAAAATCAAGCTGGATGTTTTCAAATGGCCTCAGAGATGAGACTTAGCTTCCCTTTCGGTTTTCTCATTCCTCCCACTGGCTTTGGGCAAGTGGGTTATCAAAACGATCAAGCGAGCTTTGAGGGTCGTTTCAAATTGTGGACAGAAGGAGGGTAAAGAGTAAAGCTTTTGGCGCCACCAAGTGGCCATTTTGGAGAGTGCCAAATATCTGTGTACAAAAGATCCCCTGGGATCTCCAGGACTGTTTCCCGATCTCAGGGCTCATCCTCAGAGGAAAGTAGCATCAGAAGATGTTGCAAGAGGGCCGGGGCGCGGTGGCTTATGCCTTGAACCCCAGCACTTTGGGAGGCTGAGGCGGGTGGATCACCCGAGGTCCGCAGTTTGAGCCCAGCCTGGGCAACATGGTGAAACCCCGTCTCTACTAAAAATCCAAAAATTAGCAGTGTGGTGGCACACATCTGTGACCCCAGCTACTCACGAGGCTGAGGCAGGAGAATCGCTTGAGCTCAGGAGGCAGAGGTTGCAGTGAGCCGAGATTGTGCCATTGCACTCCAGCCAG